CGATAATAAAGCAAATTTGATTAGAAGATCAACTTCCCAAAAACTTTATGGACAGTGACAATGGTGACATTGGAAATCCAGAAAAAACATTCTCTTCCCAATGGAAAGGGATTGGCCATAGTCAACCCGGTTGACCAAATGGTAAAGAGAAAGGCTAAGTCTGAGATAGTCCCATTACCAAAGGGTTCATATGTTTATTTTGCCAAAGGAAGGGGCGTTGATTGCAAAGCTGCCAAATTTACCTAAGGATGTTAAAGTCAATAAGTTTGACTCTACATCAGGTAGAGCCCATTATCTAACTCTGTTAAGTTCTATTCTGAGATCCTCATTACATGAATGTTGAGTGGGTCACATGTTGATGTTTTAAGAATCAAAGAATAGAGAGAAATCTTAAAGGAAGTATATGCTGATTTGATCGCGAAGGTGGATTTCGATCGCATCAGAATTTTGAGCAGTTGCTTAAGAAGTTATGATATATTGCTAAGGAATAGATACAACAAATTTTCCATGTGGATTGTAAGGATAAGTTTTTCCTCAAAGTTTTAAAATAAAAGAAAATTGTTTAATTTTATTTATTTGAAGTATCCTTACAATGGCATTTGTGGAAAATTGTTGCTTATATGATTCCACTGACAGCAATATTGGAAAATGGATTTGATTCTTTCATTTGTGGTAGTGTCTAAATTTACCAAATCAGGAAAGTTCCTCATCACCCAAGTTTCAATTGGACCGAAACTTGGAATCATGCAAGTTGAATAGTATGATGAATGAGAACTTTCAAGCATTGGAAAATCAAGACTAATTACTTGTTCACATGGATGTGTGAGTCAAGTGAAGGACTAAAGGGATCGAGTACACATTCTTGTGCACTGGTCATGTCCACCACAAAGCTCGTTAAGACTATTTGATTTACTAAAGTTTAGTAAATATGGTTATACTTATAAGTTTAAGTATAATTCTGAAACATTGGAAAAGTCTCAATGTATGGCAGAACGAATGGGAAGAATCAAATTAGGCAAAAGATAAAAGTTTCTCAAATCTGAAAAGATGGGAGAGTACTTTAGTATCATGTTTGTGATCATCTTAATGATTTAGAAATCACATCACAATTAGTCCTCTAAAGGTCATCTTAGTGCATTCTTATGACTAAGAAGAGGAGTCATGAATTGTTGAAATGGTTAGATCAGGAAGATGAGTCATACTTCCTTCCAAAACAATTCTTAGAGTCATACTCAAGATTGTAACTTGAGTGACATATCTTAAATAAAGGTTTAAAAACACTTGTCAAATGTAAGAGTAAAAGTGTCCTACTCTTGTACATTTGAAATTGGTAAGTTGTGATGTTTTGGATAAAACAAAGACCAACTAAGGCCAATTGTGTGAAGTGTTTGTCTTGATAAAGAATCCGCACTATCTCTTGAATATTTGGCAAGATAGTCTTATATGTCAAGAGGATAGTGGGGAGTCTTAAAGATCCTAAAAAGAATTTCAATAACTAATCAAGAATAAAACCTGAGGTTCTTCACTAACACACGACTTGTGGTTTATAACCTATCGTGTTGACATATTCTGTGCCCATTCCAGTTAAAGTTGGCTTTGCACAGGAGTTCTGAAAGTTCTCAATTGGTTGCATAACAACTTGGAAGCAATGGCAGGCCCTGTACTGCCAGGTGGCAAGAAGTTAAGATTGCATAAGTTCAGTCCATATGAGTTTGGATTTGTCATTATCCTTGTCTTGTGACTATGGTTTTGACGATTCACATGGATAAGAACACATACACCATAAAATCTAAGGGTCATAAGGTTTCTCTCCGATTCATGAAAATGATGGTGAGGAAACACTTCCACCAAGTAGATTTGAAGCAGATGGCAAAAGGTCTAAACAATTGAGACTATGATTACGGCATCCCTTTTCATAGTTCTGAAATTGTTTAGACACACATGCATGCTATCTAAGGAAAGGTGTATGATTTTGATAAAGTTTTATCAAAGCATCTCATATCAGAAATCTGAACTTTGGTAAGAAAGTCAATAAAGTATTGATTTATAGAAGTCCAGCTGATTTTTGAGTACATGTCAAAGCTAGTGGGAGCATAAGTGTTATGCTAATAATCATCATGTTAGTGGGAGCATGATAATTACTGTTAGTGTTGCAAGTTAGCAATGTTAATTATAGAAAACAAAAGTTTCAATTCGTGAGGCTGCAGGGATTGAAAAAGTTGTTTTGCTATAATTAAGGGAGAGGATATACTTCATTTCAGTTCTAAAGGCTTAGATTGAGACCTTAATCATCTTTAGTCAAGAATATATATATATATGAATTTCATGTTGGATTGGTTCAACTTAAGGAAATTCTATATATTGCGTTCTCAAAATTCGATTATGATTACGGCATCCCTCTTCATAGTCAAATTTTGAAAACATGGCAAATAAAAATATTATAGCAAAAGACTGGTCTAGAATCATGTCTTTATGTGAGACATCATGAATCGTGTACCATTTGCTTTGGATACAGGATCGATTGCATGTGGTATAATATTTGTCATTTCTAAATTTTTCCAAATGTCCAGAGGCATTAAGAAGGGAAAAGGTCTAGAATTGGATATGACTAAAATGATTAAGCAATTGTCGAGGACAATCTGAGGTTTACCAAAGATTGGTTGCTCAGGGACAGTTGGAAGTATAGTGCTAATTTTGGAAGGACCATATGACATATTCTGAAAAGAGGCATCTCTTTTCAGAAGTGATAGTCAAAATGAGAATATGGAGTTGTCTCCATAGGTGGAAGTTATATGTGTAAGATTAGAAAACTTAATGCAAGAAGCATGTCCAAAGCAATGTACTTTGAATATGAGACTTAGTTTCCATGGAGTTGATCTCCATTGGAATACCTTATAATGACTGTTGACAAGTCTTTGTGACTTTGTACATATTCATTATAGGAGGGTCAGTGCATATAAGTTTAAAATCTAAACAGATTTCGATAAATGATAGGAATTTGAAATTCTCATATTTTTCGATAAGGATTTGGGAGTGTGAAATTAGAATCATTGAAATTATGTTCAATTGGTTTATTTCACAAAGTAAGGATCATAGACAAACATAGACTGCATACTTGGTGTATGGCAAAGCTATTGTTTAAGAAAAACATAGTGTACATGCTTGGAGCATGGGACAACTAGTATTTTTAATTCAAGTATAAAGTTGATAAAACCGAAACAATGAATAATGAGTAATCAATATGGTGATAAATAAAAGTGTTTATTTATATTCATAGGGTTTGATACCATATTTGATTCATTAATTCTTGTGTTTCACTTTGCATGTTTTGGTGATTTGTGATTCCATTTGAGGCTTCCACACTATTGGGGCTAAGCTCTTAAAGCTTGAAGACATCAAGCTACATCAAAAGGTATGTCATCTAACTAGAACTTTGTAGTATAGGTGCTTCATAATATGCTAGTTAGGATGAAACCTTGGAATATTTAATATTTGCATGTATAATAGAGAAAACATAGATCCAAGGTTTATAGGGTTGCATGTACACCATAGGAGTGTTAGAATGCTCAAAACCCAACATCCCAACTCCCACCGAAATCAATGACACGGGCCCGCAACATATCCTCAAGGGTCTAGATGGTCTGCTAACTCTTATCAGCGGTCTGCGGGTGATAGGCAGTGCTGAAATGAAACCTCGTGCCCAGTTCGGCATGGAACTTTTGCCAGGATCGGGAAGTGAACCAACATCTCGGTTTAAAAGAATGCAGTCCGGAACTCCATGGCATGCAACGATCTCCTGGACGTACACATCGGCCAACTTTTCGGCCGAAGAGATCTACCGGATATCCAAAAAGTAGGCACTCTTGGTCAATTGATCCTCGATGACCCATATAACATCAAAATCCTTGGCCATCTTCAGCAACTTGGTGATAAAATCCATGGTGATCTATTCCCACTTCCACATGGGAACCTCCAATAGCTTAATCTCAAATCTCGATACATCTTGGTGGCTCACGGGTGTATAGAAAAACGAGACTTATGAGCCTCTTCCAACATTCTCTGCCTGACCCCACCGAAAACTAGAACCCAAACCCGATTGCATCGGGTCAACAACCCCCGACTATTAGTGACAAACTTGTCGATCTCGCCCCTGATCCTTTCGTGTTTCCAGTTCTCCTTTCGAACTCCATCTGCCTGAGCCTCCTTGATCAAACCCAAAAGCGGAGAATCAACGGATATTCGCATACACATCCCTCCAACTGAAGATCCAGTCGACTTGCGGCTCAATGCATCCGCTACCACATTCGCTTTACCCGGATGGTAAAGGATCTCGCACTCATAATACTTGACTACGTCCAGCCACCTGCATTGCCTCATGTTCATGTTCGGCTAGTCCATAAGATACACTACTAGAAAACATTCGTTTAATGACACGCAAACAATGATACACAATGATTTAGGATACACATTTTTTGTGTGTCCTAAAAATAATGTCCATTTTTTTAAAAAAAAATGAAGGATAGAGGACACACATTTTTGTGTGCCCTAAAATTAGTGTCCAATAAAAAAAATAACACGTAGGGAACCTATGTTAAAATGAGTGTCGTGTAGAGATGTCGCTTTATATTTTATTTAATGAAACGCGGGTTTTCTTCTTTCGCAGCTTAGGGGGAAATGAAAATCCCAAAAGTTTGAAAGGCCGCCATTTTATCCTCTACCTTATTTCCATCGTTCTTCTCTCTCACTGATCAATACCCAAAAAAAACCCTAATATCATCACCACTCCTCTTTTCTCGCACAACAAAATTGCAACATCACCAAATACTAAATTCCACAAAATCGTTGTGGCCATTTTAGCTAGGGTTTTTTTCAAGAATGAAAACACTCTCGCTTCTCTCTGAGCTCTGAAACAATGGACGATTCACCTTGATTCGCCTTTGGTCACTTCTCCTCCGGCGACCTCAGGCTCTCCTCATTACAAATCGACCAACGATAAGCTAATGCTTACAACAGAATCGTTTCACTCTCAATTGGGTCTACGACCCCTCCATCGCACTGGTGACTACGACTGTGACTCTTCCACCACACCTGTGACTGTGTCCCGCCTCACCTCCTTGGACTCTACCTTAATAGGTTATTTGATGGCTCTTGTTTGGTTCATTCCCTATACTGAATCGAGAGTCAAAACCTTGCATATGTATTCAGCTTATCGTCTTAAGCAACTGTTATTTCATCCTTCATTCACCTTATCGCCGTTGCATTGCTACCACCGCGGAATTTCCTCTTCCCTTCTCGCACTCGCCAGTTATTCCACTACCTTATCTGCTTCTACTCGTAACAAGAAAAAGCTAAACAGAAAAGATAATTCCGTTATTGGTACTAGTCGTCGAGTTCTAATAGATTCTGTAGTGAAGTGGAGGACCCGATCGGATAAAAAGTTCGATGAGGAGAGCTTTCGTCAATTTGGTGACACCAAGAGTCATATTCCGGTGATGCTAGGTGAGGTATTGGAGGTTTTTGATTCCCACAAACTTTAGACATTTTTCAATTGTACCGTTGGAGCCGCCGATCATTCTTCCGTCGTATGTGAATATGATTCCCCTTTTTTCTATTTTTTATTACATGCTTGATTTTAGAATTCATTTTGTTGTTATTTGGTCAATGATCCTTTGATAATGTGAAGCCCTGGAATTGGAAAAAGGGTTTTCTCGATTGTACTAATGTCTTTTGGGTCTGATGTTAATTTCTTGTGCTGGAGATAACAGATAATTCAGGCTCATCCCGAGATGCAGTCATATGTTGGACTGGACTTTCATCCTGTTGCCCATGAAAAAATCAAGATTAATTTGATCCAAAGTTCCATGTCCCATGACTCGACTTCCAACTTAAAAACACATACCTTTTTGCGAAATTTCAAGAACATCAAGTCTACAATATATGCGGTGGATGAGAAGCTTCTAACTTCACCAATTGATGGGATCCTAATGGACTTGGGAATGTCATCCATGCAGGCATGTAAACTGTTAACCATTTCACACATGTTTCATCTTGTTTGTTTGTCTAAGAAATTTTCAAAAAATCTTATTTTGTAAAGATCCATGACCTTCAATATTAATGTTTAATAAGTATATATATATATATATATATATATATGTTGGTGAACAATGCTAAAAGAGGATTTAGTGTGCTTGGTGATAGACCCCTTAATATGAGAATGGATCCCCAGGTCAAAATCAGAATCAACATGTGTAATTAATTAATTAGTTAATCATTGTTTATATATCTTGTTCGCTTAACTGATTGGAACAGGGGTATTACTAATACAATTACAGGTAAGTTTGATAGCTGAAGACATTCTAAATTTATGCCCAGAGGCTGAAGTGGGAAGGATTTTACGTGATTATGGGGAAGAAAATAATTTGTGGGGCTAACATTCATACTCGCAAGGTTTGATATCTCCTTAATAAAGTGTTTTATTATGGGGAAGAAAACAATTATGAGTTTTGATATCTCCTTGATAAGGTGTTTGATTTTTTTTAACGTGGTGCAGGGGAAACTAGTTGATATTAATTATAATTAAGAAGGGGATAATATGTGGGGCTAACATTCATACTCGCAAGCAATAGTTACTTTTTGCATTTGATTTATTTTATTTCAGATTTACTAAGAGGTTTTAAGTGTTTATGCTTAAACATCAGTAGTTCTTCTAGAAAAGGTACTTTTTCTTTTTCTTAGTTCTAAGATTTTATTGTCTAATTGAAAACAAGAATATTGAAGTATTTTTGACTTTTTTTTACCGGTCAAGAATATCTTAATTGTGAGCAAGTGAAAGGTTATACCATATTTTTTACCAAATATGTTGCAATGATCATTTACAGTATTGAAAGGATGACCATTTTATGGTTATATGCAAAAATAGCAACGTACTTTCTTTTATTTGAAAATATAATGCTCTAATAAGAAAGGAGAATATAGTATATTACTCACTGTCAAAGAAATGATCATTTTTTACAAGTGAAACATTATATGCAATTTTTTTCTCAGGTCAGGGGTAGCAAAGTTAACTCTACTTAGTTGGAATTTGATGTTTATCATCTCTGTACATATCTTTTTAGTTTGTATAGCATTACATTGTAGAAACAGGTCTAGATGGGTAGTTGAAACATTAGCACTTCAGAGTTCATTATTAAATATCTGAGAAGGAGAGGGACACCCTTATCAAGAAAAACATGGTTTGCTATTCCTTCTGTCGATTGCTTAGATATCATAGAATACATCTAATTTGTTTCCATGGAGGATGTTTTTTGACACCCTTATCACGAAACACATGGTACACTAGGTGGAAAACCAATGACATGGAGGATTTTTATGACATGATATCTGAAAGAAGAAGGTGTCGCTTACTAGCAATGTAGTATTAGGTTATATAGTTAGGGAAAACCTCTTAATAACAATGTACAATCAGATCCTCTTAATATCAATGTATTAAATTTTTTTGACATGATGTTATTGGATGAAATTGACTGTTTTGGTATACATTTGTTTCCATATTTTTGTATTATGTGTAAATTAGTATCGTAAAGGCACGTTGTAAATGTATATCGTAAATGGTTGTTGAAGTTTATAACACGCAAATGTGTGTCATCTTCATTCATGATAAGGCTTTAATGATACGCAATGTGTGTCCTAAACGCCCGTCGTAAGGTTACGACATGCAAATGCGTGTCATTTCTTTTATTATAGGGCCTTCCTTGACACGCAATGCGTGTCGTAAATGCACGTCATAAGTTTACGACACGCAAAAGCGTGTCGTCTTCCTTTATGATAGGGCCTTCCTTGACACGTATTTTCATGTCATATGTGGCTTTTATGACAAGCAATGCGTGTCATTAAAGGGTATTTTCTAGTAGTGATATCTCAAACGCTTGTCATCTGTGTAAACAGTACAACGTAACCCATGAAGATAATGTCTTCAAATCTCGAGGGAAAACACCACTGCCCCCAACTCCAGGTCATGAGTAGGATATCACATTTCATGCGGCTTCAGCTGCCATGAAGCACAAGAAATCACTCGTCCTCTCTGCATAAGGACCGCCCCCAAACCGGTGATGGATGCATCGCAAAACACAACAAAATCCTTGACTCCCTCCGGTAGGGTCAATATTGGGGCCTCACATAACCTCCACCGAAGAGTCTCAAATGTCGAATGCTGCTCGAGCCCCCATCGAAAATCCACTCCCTTCCTCTTCAGACGAGTGAGGGGTACCACAATCTTGGAGAAATCCTGAATAAATCTCCGATAGTATCTCGCCAAAATCAAGAAACTCATGATCTTTGAGGGAGAATTCATAACCTCCCACTGCATCACAGCCTCGATTTTGGCTGGATCGACCAAAATCGCATCCTGGTTACCGACATGACCTCGGAACTGGACCTATCGTAACCAAAATTCACACTTCAAGAACTTGGCATACAGCCGTTCCCGCCTCAATACTCCCAAAAGCTCTCGAAGGTGATTCTCGTGATGCTCCCTAGTCTTGGAATACAACAAAATATCATCAATAAACATAATGACAGATCAGTCGAGAATCGGCCTGCACACCCGATTCATCAAATTCATAAACACAACAGGTGCATTGGTGAGCCTAAATGGCATCAACACGAACTTATAATGCCCATAACGAGTTTGAAATGTTGTCTTCTCCACGTCCCCCTCTCTCACTCTCACCTGATGATTCTCGGACCTCGGATCGATCTTGGAGAACCAAGATGCACCCTGCAACTGATCAAAGAGGTCATCGACCCGTGGAAGGCGATAACGGTTATTTACCGTTAACTTGTTCAACTCCTGGTAATAAATGTACATCCGTTGTGAACCATCCTTCTTCTTGACGAACAGTATCGGCGCTCCCAACGACGAGTTCCTCGTTCTGATGAACTGCTTGCCTAACAGCTCCTGAAGCTGAGACGACAACTCCTGAATCTTAGGCGGTGCCAAGCCGCACGATTCCTTGGCGATCAGAGCCGCACCTAGCAGTAGATCGGGAGGCACACCGGGGTAACTCCTCCGGGAAAACATCGGCAAACTCCCTGACAACTGGTACCTCTGAAACTAAAGTCTGCTCCCCAACCCGAGTATCAACCACAAAAGCCAGGTAACCCACACACCCATGCTGAATATACTTTTGAGCCTTCGCTGCTGAACAAAACCCAGAACCAACCATGGTGCCATCTCTATAGATAACCAGTTCTCCCCCACTTGGGGTTCGAACTACCACTCGCTAGCCCTCACAATCGATCATGGCACCAAACCTGCTCAGCCAGTCTATACCCACTATTACGCGTACATCCCGCATGGGGATAATGATCAAATCAATCGGATAGGACACCCCAAAGATCTCAAATACACAACCCTAATATATATTGGATGTAGAAACCCCCGTGTTCATTGGGGATAGAAACCCGCAACGGAAACTCCAACTCATAAAGAGGCACACCAAAATCCCTACCGAAAGATCGCAATACAAAAGAATGACTCACTCCCGAGTCAAATAATACTAGAGCAGGCAAAGAGTTCACTAAGAACATACCTATCAGAGAAATAAATAAAAGAATTCCAAAAAATAATCCACAGAACAACAAATAGAAACATATCGGTCACAACATCTGGTCTTTCTATGGCCTTTTCGACAGTAAGCTGAAAAGCGCGACAGCAAGCCCTCGGGGGCTCCGCCCGACTTTGGCTCCCATCCGTGATCCTCAGAGTAGTCGGCGCTGGAGCCTGAGTCGATCCAGATACAGGAGCCTGCTGCCCGTAGTACCGCGCAATGTGGCCCTGCTTGCCACATTTGTGGCATCCTGAAGAAGATCGACAAGCTCCATCATGAACCTTGCCGCACTTTCCGCAAGTGTAGCCCCTATGACTCCCAGATCTAGCATCAGCGACCTTGAACCGCTTTGGTGCAGGCTGCGGCTACGTTAGTGCCTACCTCTGCTCCTTCGCCTGGAGCTTCATCTCAATCTCACGCCGACTAGTGGCCTCCTTCAAATCTACCAAAGAAGTATAACGTTACATGGACACAAACTGTCGGATGTCTGTCTTGAGCTTGCTCAAGTACCGGGTCATCTGAGCCTTCTCGGAAGTAGGAAACTCAAGGCAAAACATAGCTTTCTCTGTAAACATCTTGGTGATCTCCATCACCGACTCGGTCCCCTGCCTCAAATCCAAATACTCCTTGGCTAACCTCTCTCACTCCACCAGTGGAGAATATCTAGAACGGAACATCTCAGAGAATTTCTCCCAAGTCATGGCAGCCCTCTGCTCTGGAGAGTACAAGCTAGTAACCAACCTCCACCAATCCTTCACTCTAGACCGTAGAAGGTTCAAAGCGCACTTGACTTTCTGGTCAGCTGGGCAAGAGCACGTAAAGAAACATCCCTCCATGTTAGACAACCACCTAATGGCTATGATCAGATCATGAACTCCTCCAAACATCGGGGGATTCAAATGATCAAATTCCCAGTACCGGAAAGCCCT